CTCCCCCCATTCCCCCCCAGATAAGCTTTTATCAGGTGCTGGACAAGGAGGCCCCGGACGCCCCCGAGGGGAAGAAGCTGCTCTCGGCGCGGCTGCTGGCTGTGCACGGCTTCGGCTGGGAGGTCTTCTCCATCACGCAGGCGGTGAGTGCCGCCCTTCAGACGTGCTTCCGGATCCTCAAGTGGGGGGGCAGCTGGGGGGTCTTGGATAGTTTTCCAGCAGCAACTGGCTTGGTGTTTGGCCCACAGGCATGCGGGGCTGCGCCCGGCCTGCCCCGCCTGAGAGTTATGGGGGCTTGGGACCCGCGGCTTGGCTCACTCACTCGAGCCCTGCAGGATGCCCGTGGTCAGCCTCCGCTGATGCCCGGATGCTCTCTTCCAGGTCCGTGACTGGGTGGCAGAAGAGAGCAGCAACCAGGGTTTGCTGGTGACGGTGGAGGGCCTTAGAGGGGTGCCCCTGGACTCCAGCACCGTGCAGTTTGCCTCGGGCAGGGATCACCACGCCAGCAAGAACCCCATGCTGGTCTTGTTCACCGACGACGGCCGGCGGGCGGCTGCCTTGCCCAGCAGCTTCCTTGGTGAGGGTGCAGGAAGCAGCTCCTGCGAGTGGGGCAGGAGGGCGAAGGGCAGAAGCTGGAGGGGTTGCTGGAGATGGGGCCCCCAAGGGCAGAGCCCCGGGGCCCTTTCCGGGCACAGCCCTGCGTGGCTTCTTCGTGGGGACAGCAAAAGCCCCCGTTTCACCCCAGTGAACGGCTGGGGTCCTAAGAGGGGAGCCCTGTTCCCCTGTGGGGGCCGAAGTGCAGAAGGACTCCGGGGCCCTCTTCCGACTCAGGTGCACGATGTAGGACTGAGCGCAGCTCCTGCTGGCGTTTTCACCTCCCCCCTCCAGAAACCCCGAGGGGTTCATGTGCCTTTACTTTCGGAGATGCAAACGTAGGCCACTCTGAGATGAGAACGTTGGGGGGCATGTTGTGGGGACACAGCAGTGCCCCCCTCCAGCCAAGATGGCCAGTGGTGAGAGAAGCCGGGGACAGTGGCATTCCTCACCCTGCAGATTCGGGGGAGGGGGTCCCTTGCCCCGTCCTCAAATGAAAAGGCAGTGCTGTTCCCCCCCCCCTTTTAATTCCTTCCCAGCTTGGAGAAGCCCGAGGGTTGCCTTTTCCCTGGGACGGGCCTTCAACATGGGGAAACGCAGCACGACGGGGCCATCCACCCGCTGAACATGAACAGGCGTTTTGGGGAGGGAGGCGTAACGTCCCTCAGGAAGTCGGCCTGCTTTGCTCCTGCCGCCGTGGCTGAGCCGGCCTCGCGGCGGGTGCAGAAAGCCCGAGGGCTGAGCGCGTTCTCTGCCGTCCCGTAGGTTCGTCCCCAGGCGGCGCCGGCCTCCCCGAGCTCACCTCCAACAGGACCCGGGCCCCTCGCTCGGCGGAGAGCCCCCTGCCCTGCCAGCGGTACCCGCTCTCGGTGGACTTCGAGGAGATCGGCTGGTCTGGCTGGATCATCTCTCCCCGGGGCTACAACGCCTATCACTGCAAGGGCTCCTGCCCATTCCCGCTGGGCGAGAACATGCGGCCGACCAACCACGCCACAGTCCAGTCCATCATCAACGCCCTGAAGCTGAGCCAGGAGGTCAGCAGCCCCTGCTGCGTCCCGGACAAGCTCTTCTCCATCAACCTGCTCTACTTCGATGACGACGAGAACGTGGTGCTGAAGCAGTACGACAACATGGTGGCGGGCAGCTGCGGCTGCCACTGAGCCCCGGGGACGGTGGAGCCTGGCTCTCCCCCCACCCCTGCCAGAAGAGCAGAAGATTGGCAGCAGAGGACGGCAGACTCAGGCAGGCAAAGCTTAATTAACTTACGAACTCTCTGCCCCAAGGTAGAAATTCGCCTGCCAGCTTAAAATGATTTAAAGGGGGCGAGACGCGTTCATGGAAGAGAGAGGTTAGCTGGCAGCAGCAGCAGCAGCAGCAACAGCAGCGCTGATTTAAAAAGCAGAAGAAAATGTATTTAGGGTTTGCTATGGCTAAGTGTCATGCTAAATAAGTCAAGCCTCCCTCTTCCGCAGCAGTCTACCTCCGAATAGCAAATGGTTGGGAGAAAAAGGGGAAGAGCTTCAGCTTCCACGTCTCGCCTGTGGGCTTCTCTCATTGTCCAGAATCGGGATGTGGCTCTGGGCGTCCTGCTGTCCATGTTCCCGGGAGGCAAAGCTGCAGCGCGTTTGAGTTGCACCAAGTTCCATGGTGCCGTTGCACATGCAGCCCTGCAGAATGTACCATACTGTAGATATCAAGCTGTTAATTTATATATATAAATATGTGTATATAGACGACAAGCTCCCTGGACACTGCGACTTGTAAATATTTGTACGTCCTTATTGCTGTAATTATTACTTTGCCAAGCGCCTTCTTGCGAGGGGCGCTGTCTTGACATTAAAAGCCAAGCTACCTTTCAGGTTTCCAATGGTGTTGTTGCAAATGTCTTCTGAGCCTCGGTTCAGCAGTGCCAAGCTGTGTGCCTGGGCGGCTGCATCCTGCACACTCAGCGTGTTCGTGCTTCTCCGAAAGGCCCTTCGCTCCGTCTGCCGAGGAAGCGGGTGCGGTCCAGAAAAAGCCGAGGGGGCCGCGGATCCTCCCCCTCTGGCGGCCTTACACTGAAGGCCTGTCACCTGGGCCTGGGCAGAAGAGCCGCAGGGCTCGGAGGGCTTACTCTCTGGGAGCGCACGGGGTTTGCGTGACGCTCGAGGGGCACCAGCAGTGGCATTTTGTCAGAACACAGAATCTGCGTGTGGCGTCCTTGGGGTTCTCTGAGCTTGGTTGTTTTCTTGCAAACATTTCGTTACCAGGCTAGGTAACATCTTTGGTGCTAGAATGGGATGGGGTAGCACTGAAGAAGTTGCCTAGCCGGGTAACAAAACGTTTGCAAGGAAACAGCCAAGCTCAGAGGACCCCAAGGACTCCGCGGTTCAACCCTGAGCTACATGTATTCGCTTCTATTGGTGTCTTAGTTCGTGTCTACGTGTCTTAGTTCCAACTATAAAGATCAGAAGGTGTGGCAGGAAGCAGAAGGAAATGGAGGTGCTGGAAGAAATGGGGCATTAAACAAATAGCTTCTCCCCCCTCCCCAACCTGTGCTCCGCTTCTGCAAACATCTGGAGCCTGGGGGGTGCGATCCTAGCAGAGCTGGGATGGATCTCACCTGATGGCGCAGAAGCTGATCCCACCACGGGGTTAAGCTGAGAAGGGGCAAGGTCCCTGCCTTGCAGGAGGGGCTGAGCCGGGGGGTGCTCCCGAGAGCAGCTCATTCTAGTGGGAAGGACTGATTTCATCTTCTGAATCGGGAGCTGTGATCCCTGCTAACGTAGCTCTCGCCGCCAAGCTGGAGGGAGAACCAAGTGCAAGACTGTCCCCCGCCTCCATCTCCATCTCCTTTCTGGCCCACGTGAATCACTTCATGCCCTGATTCACCCCCTTGGGTACGACGGTCCTTCCTGAAGGCTCCCTGGGCTGAGCAGAGTCGGACCGTCCCTTACAAAGCTGATTCAGCAGACCTGCAGGACTTCCTTTACTGTATTATTGACACAAGAAAAAGTTGGTTTATTTGTTTGTCTTCCATTTATATGAATAGTGACTCTTAGAAAATTGGCTGTAAGCGTAGACCGGTGTTTTTCAACCCTGGCAACTTTAAGTTGTGTGGATTTCACCTCCCAGAATTCCCCAGCCAGCTGGGGGACAAACCGAGTCAGGTTTGGCATCCAAGGGCAGACCAAAGCCAGAGTTGGGCAGGGGAGCCCAAGAGCAGTTCTGCCCCCCAGTTTTTGCCCAGCTGCCTGATGCCCGCAACCTGCCCACTGCCTCCCACCTTGCTTGGGGTGGCCAGGGAAAACCAAGGACGGTCAGAGCCGATCCTTTCAGAGGCTCACTTGGGCACCCACCTCTTGCCAGCGAATCCTGGTATCCTGCTCCAAGTCTGGCTTCAGAACACCAGGCAGTACCTGAGATACCGACAGGTCTGCAGAAGACCATCTGGGACTGAACCAATGTGGGGCTCGCAGGAGGATTTACGGCAGGCAGCCCAGCTCTTGTGTTAAATGAAGATGGAAGAGATGCGGGGAGATCAGCCACCCCCGCCCACCATCTCAGCCATCTTAGCATCTGCAGTAAAGGAGGCCAGGCCCAGAGAGGCAGGGAGGGCCTGCTTGCTAACTGTCCAAGGTCTGAGGGGGCAAACGTGGCCATGGCTGGGCCAGCCTGGCACGGATGCAGGAGATTCCAGGTGGTTCCGATGGGACCCGAGGGGTGGCTGACAGGGGAGAATGAGCAGGGGAGGGGTTGCTATCTGCAGTGAGGGTAGACATGGTCTGAGACCAGGGGCGAGGCTGGTGGGCTGCCCACAGGGCCGTTGGGGCACCAGCATCTGGCAAATTTCCTCCAGACCCTCTCCCTCAGGCTGTGCTTCCTGGAGAGCTTGAGTACAACCGCCGCCTCGTTCTCATGAGACTTGAGCTTGGCATAGTAGTCGGAGAATCTGTTGTAGAGGATCGAGATGGGCATCCCGTTGAATGCCGAAGGCGATGCATCCAAAGGCTACCGTCCTGCCCAGGAATGTGTCTGGCACCGTGTCCCCATAGCCCACGGTGGAGAGGCTAACCTGGAGGAGGAGGAGGAGGAGGAGGAGGAGGAGGAGGAGGAAAAGTCAGGGAGAAAAGAAGAGCAAGATGTCCTGCTGGTGTGAAGCAGACTCAGCTGTGAGAACGTGCAGAGAAGACAGGTCCACTTTTAACCTCCCAGCTTGTTCCCAAAGCTTCCTTTGGCCCACCTGCACTAGGCTACTGGAAGGGACCCGAGGTGAGACCTGCCCACCAAGGAGGGAGCAGATTCTTTCTTGTGGGCCTTCCATAGGGGGGAGCTCAGGGTCCCTGGAGAGATTCTGGAGTGAGAAGAGCTCTGGGACAGAGTAAAACCCTCTGGGTGGTCTCCAAGGCTCCCAGGTGGGGGGAGGAGACCTGCTGGGCCTGCATTTCAATTGCCAGTTTTAAGGGTCTTGGGTGGCACGTGATGCCAGAGACTTTTCTCCACCTGAAGCCCAGGAGCACCATAGGCAATACTGGGCTGCAGAAACCAACAGTCCAATGTGGTAGCTGGTAGCCTCGAGAAGATGGCAGCTCTTCTCTGCGTGGCTGGCATATGAGTTCACAGTATTCGAGATATTGCTACTTCTAGCCTTGCAGGCCCTTTTCTCTTCAACACAGGCAGAAAAGGAATCTTAGCTTTTGGAGAAAGGAGAGCAGAGGGAGAAACCAGTTTTGCCTGCACGAGGTCCCCTTTCAGTCCCCAGCAGCCGGGAAAGAGCCCAGAACGATCTGCTGGTGTTCAAGTGACGGCTGCCCCCCGATCAAAGCCAGATCTGCGGTACCACCACTGCCTGGGCAATTCTTGGGAAGTGGGTTCAAAGACTTATTAGAAGTCGTTCTTGGGTCTGACAGGGCCACTAGCTCGAGAGGAGACCACCCTCAGCTGGACTCCTTGTATGTGGGGGGGGGGACAGGATGACTTACTGCCGCCCACCACCAGGCATCAGGGATGCTGGTGAAGTTGGTGCCAGGGACGTCGTGCTCAACGGAGTGCATGAGAGCAGAGAAGGTGAAGACACCCATGGCGATGAAGAGGAGGAGACAGCAGACAGGCTGGCAGCACTGCCGGAGGGTGAAGCCAAAGGCCCTCAGCCCCGTGGAGTGTCGGGCCAGTTTGAGGATGCGGAAGATGCGCAGGAGCTTGATCAGCTTGAGGATCTTCCCCAGCTTCCCGACGTTTTGCATCTGATGCAGTTCCCCGTGGCCTTCAGACTCCCCCTCGCCCAGGAACTCAAAGAAGATCTGGATGTAGAAGGGCAAGATGGCTACCAAGTCCACAGCACTGAAGGCTGCCCGGAAGAACTGCTGTGGGGTGGAGGTGGAGACCAGCCGCATGAGATACTCCAGCGTGAAGAAGATGGCGCAAACGGTCTCCAGGTGCTCCATGCACCACTTGCTAGTCTCGTGCTGCATCTCCTCTACCGTGCTGAGCATCATCCCCATGATGGAGAGGAGGACAAAGAAGCTGGACAAGATGGCAGTGATTTTAGCAAGGACAGAGGAGTATGGGTTCTCAATCAGACTCCAGACAGCCTTCCGGAACTGGCCCATGAACTTGCCCTCAAAATGTTCTTCCCTCTCAACGGGTTCCAGTTCAGCCTCTAGCTCCCGCTGGACCTTCAGGTACTCAGCCATCTCGTCATGCTTCTCCTCAAAGAGGATTCGGCAGCACCGCTGAGCATATTTCATGTGGATGCCCCAGTACTCAATCTCCTCCAGGAAGTTGGCTGGACACAACTCATTCATGATCCACATGACGCCACTGTGATAGAAGTGGAAGATGTAGTGGAAGATGAGGGGGTCTCGGTCAAAGAAATATTCATTCTTCAGCACTGAGTAGTCATCACACAGTTCCAGCTTCTTCACGGGATCTGTGCAGGTGGCCAGTCGCCCAATCCTGGTGATGGGGTACCTTGCAGCCTCTCTACAAGCAATGTGAAAACACTTTCCTCCAACGTTGAGGGTCAAGAAATATTGGTTCCTTTGGTGTGGGATCTCACTGCTGTCTTGGGTCCAGTTGGCCAAGCTGTGCATGGAACTCCATGGCTTGACCAGCTTTTCCTGAGAGAAGGGGATGAAGATGTCCACTTCTTTGGGAGTCCTGCAGCACTTCTGACAGTCCCCAATTTTCATGTTGGCTGAGAGGCTTGCTCGCCTTTGCACGGTGCGTCTCATGGCGGTTTAATGGTCCCTCAACTGCCACTGTTGGTGGATGATGATGTGTTTAGGGGAATTGTGATTCTGTCCTATTAGTTGCTGGGTGCAGTCCAGATACCTCTTAGCAGCTCTGAACTGCCCAGTTTGAGCTCATGTGCCATCAACCAGCTAAGCCCTCCAAAGCCACCGCTTCTCAGTTTTGGGACTGGATGTATCTGGAAGCAGCCGGTTCTTGAGCTTCTTACAGCATTAATCAGATTATGGTCTTAAGATGTCAACCTAAGAAGCTGATCTGAAGGTCGAGTTGGGCCGTTCTGATCTCAGCAGTAATAAACTATTCAAATTATTTTTTTTTTAAATGTGATATTTAAGGTGCTTCAAGACATTTCATATGCTCAAATAAGATGATGTTTTTATTTTGTCTGGGCTCCCAAGCTAAGCGGGGCTGGACCTGATCAGACCTTGGACGGGAGACTACCAGGACATCCCAGGGTTGCAGACTAGTTGGGCATTCAAAAAAATCCCAGAAAACAGCAGGACCAAACCATTTCCATGCTGCTCTCAACGGTGTGGATGTGTCCAAACAGTAACCAGGAGTTGACCACATGTGTACAGTATTTGCAGCATGGCAGCTTCAAATTCTGTGCTTTACCTGACAAAGAGCTCCTGGAAACAACGTTCTCCCCGATCCAGGAACTCATATGTACAACTGACGTGTGGCTTAAAATGGGAAGCTGAGAACATTCACAGTGGAGGCAGCCATGAGCCAAGCTCTCAGGACCAGCGGCTGGGGGCGTGTGTTAGGGCACAGGGTTTCTTAAAAGGGTTGTCTCACCCCCACACAGGAGAGAAACTGCATGGACCCAGATCCCCCACTGAAGGCTGTAAGGGGGACAGGACCCTCCTCTCAAAACCCTGCTTAGGAGGAAACATGCTTCAAATAGGTTACAGAAAGCAAGCGTTATGCTTTTTGTGTTCAGCCACTATGAAGAAACAAGATGCTAGACGGAGTGGAACGTGGTCTGATAAAACCGGGTTGAAGTCCCACAGCTTTCCCACCAGCTCTGCCCCTAATCTGGCTTGAAACTCTGGAGAGGCACTGCTGTACAAGATCACCCCTTCTTCTGGGTCAGCAGAAGACAGGTCCCGTGCCCCTAAAATGAGAGCTAAGCCAGATTGACCTGGTGGGGCCAGTGAAAGACCCCGTAATGCTTCAAGGAGGGCCGATTCCCCCGAACTTCCTAACGGTAGGGGCAGTTCAGTGGTGCTTCCAATGGCCCAGAGAGGCCAAGGCTGGACCGCCACCAGGCCAGGACGCTTCCGCCTGGGTGCCTGCCCTGGGCAGAGGTTGCCTTTGGGGCCCTTCAATTCCTAGGGGGGTATTTCCAGCACACTCAAACCAAAGCACCAAAGTTGTTTCTGCCAAAAAGGAAAGTGCAGGAGCCGGGCCTTGGCTTTTCTTAGCCAGAGCAGCCTGAGCCCCAGCACGTCTGCCGTCCCCGCAGACACAGCTCCTCTCTGCCCTTGCCTGGCAACTCCGAAGGTGGTGATGGCGGCGGCGGCAGCGGGATCTCCGTTTCTGCCGCCCCCCTACACGTACTCCCTTGCAGAACCTGCTTGCTCAACACCTTCCCTCAACATCCGACCACTTCTAACCTTGGCTGTTTCTGGCTTGTGTTCTGGAACAGGACTGGGGTGGCCCCCAACTGGGCCCCTCAGATGGAGGAGCTGTGGGTGGCATCGCCACCCGTCTCGGTGCACAGGGAGGAAGATGGGCCCACCTCTCACCGTTCCTGCACCAAGGCAAGCGGGCAGCACCCATTGCCCGAGCTGGAGGAGTGGCGCTCTCGGTAGCTGCAGGGGCTTGTGGACCTGGCCCGGCTCCCACGTGAGGCAGGGAGGGAGTCTGCCAGAGATTGGAGAGGACTGTGGAGGAAGCAGCCCACGCTCCCCCAGCCCATGGAGCCTTCCAAAATGCAAAAGCCAGCAGGCCACCCTAACCGGCACCCCCCTCCACTTCCGCACTGAACAGGAACTGATCCGTGTTCTGCAAAGGGACTCACAAGGCTGCTGTAAGGATGAGCTCTTGGATCAGGCGGAAGGGTGTTCCTGGAAGGGAAGCAGGAGTAGAGGTGAAGGGGGGTGTCTGAAGAAGGGGCAGGGCGGGGGGCGCTTCCATCCCAGGTGGCTTTGATGAGCAGGTGGAGCTGCGAGGAGAACAAAACCCAGACCCCACAACTGGTTGGAAACGCTTTTTAATGGTTCACATTCAGGAAGGCGGTCTACCTTGGTGCTGCAGAAGCAGGGTCCCCACGCCGGGCCAGACAGGACAGACTTTAGGGGTTGCTTTCCTCCACTAAAATATGTGGGATTCTCACCTACCACGGAACCTGAGGAAGAAGTCACAACCACGGCAATCAGGCGGTTTTCACTGCAGGTGGCAACGCAACAGGAAAAGCCAGGAGCAGCCAAAACCAGCTTTTGCCACACAAACCATACAAGGGGTTCATCAGCCTTCCCAAACCTCCAGAAGTTGAGAGTTCTTGTCCAACACATCTAGAGGCACCAAGAGGAGCAAGTAACAACAACCCCCAGCAGCACCTTGAGAGGAAGGTGGAATTCCACAGCACCCCACCCACTGGAAGAATCCCAGCTCGCTTCCACGCGGACCCTCTTGGCCAGCAACAGGGGAACACGAAGGCCATTTTGCTTGGAGTGGCTCGTCAAAGTCGGGGTGGAGGCTTCTGCTGGAGTGGGCAGGTGCAGTGCTGCTGTCAAGGGACAGGCCTAAGCAGGCACGAAGAGAAGCCCGGTGGCAGATGCTGCTTTCTCCCAGAGGTGGGCTTCTGGGGAAGTCGTTCTTCTGCTGTGCGGCTTCCAAGGGTCGGGGAAGCCTGGTCAGACTCAGCTCCTTCAGGGAGTCCCAGCATGGCTGCCAGCCTTTGAAATCCAAGAGTTTTGCCAAGGGTTCCTGGGAGGATCAGGTGACTGGGCCAGAGTCCTTTGCATGAGGCAGCAGGGACACGAAAAGACAGCCTCCCTAAAGGGCTTTCATTCCTGCTGAAAAGAATACCAAGAAGCGGAACGAAGTGAGCTCATCCTTCCCACGAGCTCCCCAGAAAGGAAACGGAAGCAGCATCGTGGGGAGGCTCTGCACACGAAGGGCCTTCCTTTGAGGAATGTGAACACCTGCCCCCAAGGAGCAATTCTTTGCCATCCTACAAAAGGAAAGAGGGAAACTCAGCAAACCATCTGGGCCTTGCTTTCTGGAATGTCAGCCCCAGAACAGCTGGGCTGATGTGGCCCAGGGGAGAATTGGAACACTGCCAAGTTCCCCCAATGCACATCCCAAGAAAATACTAACATTACTATCCGTTTGTACCACATGTCCTTGAGACTATGATGGGCAAGCTGAACATATTTTAAATCACAGCAGCAAACAAAAATGTAAAGGAAAGTTATTTAACCCCAAGCAACTGAAACCTTATCATTTAAACCAGGGGGACAGCAGATACAGGAGACGGAAGGAGAATCGGGCTTTACTAGGCTTCTTCGCGGTAAAGCTTCCCAGAGACGGAAGTCAAACTAAATACATTTAATTGGATTTGGGGCTTACCTGACCGGGAGGAGCATCTCAAGGATGCTCTTCTAGGATGATGATCTGCTTGAACGCTCTTTTGGGGTAGAACCTTGTAAGGCGAGGCTTGGCTTTTGTAGAGGTCCACACCGCTATCACCGCTGCGGCCACCACTGTGATCAGGAGTGCTAGAAAACAGAGGGGAGAGAGACAGATGAGCCCCAGGCCGGAACTTCTGGGCCTGGCCTTGTTTCCGGAAGAGCCATGGTAGAGAGACACTTGCAAGCTTTTATACCTTTTGGAGAGACTCAGAAAGCGTTTATTCCACAGTGATAACAGAGCCGAAATGGCCTTTTGGGGTCATGTTTGATACCCAGTTGGCGGAAATGGATCAGTCCCCCACCAGGACAGCCCCTCCCCAGAAGCTGCTGAGCAAAATCTAGCAAGTGCCACCACCAGCCCTTGCCAAGCCAAGCACCATCCAAGCCAAGAGTCACCAGCCCACTCATTTCTTGAGACCAGTTTCACTAGTGCAAACCAGAACAGCGGCAACCAGCTGATCTCCCCACTAATTTTCACAATTCTATTTGGGGCAGATCAAGATCACTTTTGCCAATATTACTCACCGACAATGGCAGCGATCGTCAAGTGCTCCAATGGCACAGTTTCTGGGGCAGCACTGCTGCCTGTAAGAGAAAAAAAATGCAGGTGTTAATATCTGCACATGGTAAAAAATAAATTAAAATGAAATTTCATTCTGTAGGATGGGGTTAAAGAAGAATTGTTGAAAAAGCTGAAGATACTGGCATAGAGATACGTTTAAGTACATTGAGTTCATGACTTGTCTTTTATTTTTATTATGTTTGCTCTTTGCCTTTATTGTGTTTTTGTGCTTGTCTAAACAATACATATCAATCACAAAACCACATCAACAGCAGAGCCCGCTCAACCTCCTGGAGAAACCACCAGGTCTTCAGTGCCTTGTGCAAGGCTAACAGTCACGGCCATCCAGATCTCATGAAGCTGCCAAGTCTCTTTGGATTGTGGCAGGAAATAAATGGGATCAATCAATCAATCAATATCTGTCTGCATGTATGTATTTTATGTGTGTTTTGCCACTTTGATGGGGAAACAGCTGATAGGAAATACAATTCGTTTGTCTCAAAGCAAAATAAATTGACACGGCATATTAAACACAAGACAATTCAAACTGTTCAGAGAATGAATAATTAACTCTTGGAAAAAAAATAGACATTATGATCCCTGGGAGACACAAAGCATCTTGGCAGAAGAGAGGGGTTGAAAATCAAGGTATTATAAAACTCAAAAAGTGTTTTGTAGGTAACAGATGATTGGCAAAGAGCTGGAAAAATAATTAAGGAAGCAAAACAAACTAGAGCATCAGGATGCAAAAAATGAAAAAACAAGCTTGCTAAATTGAGGTATCTCAGAAAACAGACATCCTGGGAGGAACAGAGATTGTTGCAAGCAATTATTTATGGACTGGGAATGTCTGGGGAGGTTAGCCTAGCCCCGGACAGTCTGCCCAAAAAGGAATTATTACACAAGATGGAAGGCAATAAATACCCAGAACCTGCGCAGGATGCACATTCCCTCTAGAGTCTTTGCCTCAGGCGGACAGGCCAACAGCTGCCTCCCTGGAAGGCCTTGATCTGCCCCACCGCCTGCAGTGGGGACTGGCTACCTATGGGGTTACCCAGACCTGGTGATGCAACCCTTAGATACTGGTTCTGATTCTGCGAAGAGACACATGTCTGAGAGAAGCCAGCCAGTGTATTTTAAACATCTCTGTATGGGGGGAGAGCTGTGTTAGTCTGTATTGGAGAAACCACAGAGGGAGTTTAATCGCACCTTTTCCAACTCACGAATGTATTAAAAGGCAGAAGCTTTTGTGAGCTGCAGTTCACTTTCTTTTAATAAAAATTCTGAGTCTGAAAAGGCGCTGCTAGACTTCTCCTGATTTTAAACATCTCAGGGTGTCCTAAAACTGTCAAGGTCATGGCTTGGCTAAAAGCAGCATTTGGGAATTCTTTGAACAGAGCACGTTCAAAGACATGCATATCGGAATAGGTGGATGTGAGAAACAGAAGCCAAACACACTTGCCAATTTGCACATACACGGGATAAGCAGCATTTTGCACAGCGCAAGGAGTAGGAAATAACAAGGCAAAGAAATTAAAGGTATCAGAAAAGGGAATGCTGCCAAGTCTAATTTATATCAACACCAGGCTAAATAAATGAATGATGTGGATTAAGTGTTGAAGGCATTATGATTAAAGATATACTGAATTAAAATTCCCAATTAATCGGGAGCAGCCGAAGACAACAGAAGCAGCTCCAAGACAAGTGGCGGGAAGAATATAGGAGAGGTGGAGCCACAGGGTCAGAAATGTAAAGGAAGTGTGCTGCCGTGATTGACCCCTCTGGCTCAGGCTGGCAAACTCTAGCGGAGAAGCCTGTGGGTGATTTCTTTGGAGAACAAGAGCTCTGAGGATTGCTTTCTGTGAATCTGAAAATTCAGGACCACCCACAGCAGAGTACAGCAAACCTTAGGTCTGAGCAAAGTGGTACTTCTTTTTTTTTTTTACTAGCGTTCTCAAAATCATCAGCTGGAACCTGATGCAAAAGATACAGACTTATAGAATGGAGGAATTGATTCTGAATCAGCACCAAACACAAGAATTAACAGAACTCACACTCCTAAATGTTGTTTTTCTTTATTTCAGCAATACAACTGAAGGTGGGTTGGGCACGCATAATTTATTTTTTTGTACTGCTACTGTAAAAAAAACTGGGATTCAGTAATCTCTGCTGACTTCCTTCAGTTCCTTCCCCCCCACCCCACCTTGAAATCACAGAGTAGCTCTAGATCTACCATCTGCCCACCTTGGCACAACGTGATTGGCACCACTGAGTCTTTGTCCCACCCCCTCCAGAAAATGCCGGAGGTGGAATCTTGATCTTCCACATGCCAAGAACACAGCTGCTGCCCACCTCCTGCCAAGGCGTTGGGGAGAAATCCCTGCCAAGGGGGGGGGGGGGGGTCCTCAAAGAACCTTCTAAACTTCCTTAATCTCTTCAAATGATGCAGAGGGTAGAAATACATGTAACAGCAACAGTGGCAGCAACGCAGACCCAGCACGCTATTTCCTTTCAGGTTAAAAATAATGCAGAGTGCGGAAAAGGGAGCAAAAAACGTTGCTAGGAGGCACAACCAAGGCCCAAGGTTGTTCCAAGCATGCTCACACTCTTCTACACAAGGTGTATTTCTAATCTAGAGACTACCTTGCCTGGGTCCCATCAAATTAGTGTTATAAACAGCAAATAATAATAATAATAAGCAGTGTACAACAAAATACATAATAATCAATATAACTGAGAGGCAGTGAAACAGTTTTAGGGAAGTGCAAACAAAATGCAGCTTTAGCAATCAGAGATAAGGAGGGCAAATGTAGGTCTTTCTGGATTGACTAAAAAACAAAGTTGCAATTAAAAGAAAGAGCTGCTGCTACAAGAGCTAGCAGAATTACCACTTGGCACCCCAAAATCAGACCACAACCCAGCCCACCTTTTGGGGTTGTTTGTGGAGTCATTGAAGCCTCTGGCAAATCTGCATCGCACCCTACTTCATCGCCTCCATCTTCACAGTCCGGGTGGCCGTCGCACTGAAACGTCACCGGGAAGCACTCTGCCCCCGGGTGGCATCGGAATTCGTCGCTTTCACAGTCCTTTTCAAGCAGGGCTACTGGGGAGCCACAAAGGGGCTCTGACTCATCAGAACCGTCTGGGCAGTCCTCGCGGCCGTCGCAAAACCGTTCAAAGGGCAGGCAGGGCCCGCTGCCGCCGCACCGACAGTCACGATTCCTGCAGGAGACATTTCCCAGCTGACAGCCATTTGTGTTGCTGCCATCTTGGCAGTCAGGCTTCCCATCGTGCCCCAAGCACAGCGGCACCTGGCCCCCCTCATGGCACTGGAAGCTCCCAAGAGGGCAGGAGGAGGAGAACCCTGTAGACATAAAGAGACAGAAAGTCGTGGGTGGCAGAACTGACGAGATGCTGAAAAAGAGAGGGAGGAGGAAGAATGGAAGGCTGCATCTGAAGTCAGATGAAGCACAAGGATAGAAAGGATGGAGAAATACAGCGAATTCAGTCACGCTATCTGCTTTTTTCTTATTTCTTAATTCCAGTGACTCACACTTTCTTGCTCCGTGTTGCTTGCCCAAGGAAGGAACAAGACGATGACCCTGTACAGGTGCCGGGCTTACTGAAGGCCAACGCCCTCGGCAAGCCGGCTACCAACTAAGCTCTCCGAACCCCCGCAAAACACACCACCAGTTCATTAAGAAAACCAGTTCCTGCGACTCTGACTTTAGATCCTTACCAGGAAATAATAACTATTTATTTTAAGGGGTAAAAAAAAGCAATACTGTTTTGAGGACCAATCTAAATCGCAGAGCGATTTTTGTGTGACCCTAAGAGAGGCTGTGTTGCTGCGTTTGTTTATTTAAAGAACTCATAGGGCTGCCTATCTCACATCGTGATCCTAGGCAGATCACAACCACCAGTAAAAGCAACAGAATAAAAACAGAAGAAGTCTTCCCACTATGCTAATGTGGGATTTTCCCAAAAGAAGGTCCTGGGCTGGATCCTAGTTTCAAGCCATGATTGAACTATGCAAAGGTCCAAGAACCCCAGAAACATCAGCAGCACACCTGGGGATGTTTAAACATGTTGGAGAAAAATCTGCAAGAGGGGACCTGAATTTATTTTCATCCCATTTACAACTTACATTTTCCTCTCCCTTCTCGTTTGCCCTTCAAGATGAGGTTTGCTTTCTCTACCCAAGCAGGACACCAAAGCCTTTCAGTCTTCCAAATTTATGATGCATTTGCAAAGCACACAGTGACACCCCACGGGCAAGACCCCGAAACAGAGAAAACAGGTGTGTTTATAACTGAGCAACAAGGTTCAGCAGGAGCATAAGATGCAATGGGTTCTAAACTGGTTATATAAAGGCAAAATGTTTATAACAGACTTTTTATGCTGTACTTGCTAAATGTCAAATCTCAACTCCAGAACACCTAGTTAGCTGACCTTCAAGTTCCTCTTGAAGCCTAACCAGTAATACAGAGAAACTGTGCCAAATGTTTATTTGCTTGAAGAAGCGGGATGGGAAGAGTAGAGCAGCTTTTGAACTTTGGTGTTGGAGAAGATGTGGAGAAGACCGAGGAGAGCCAAGAAAACAAACCGGTGGGTCCTCAAGCAATCAGCCCCGAGGCACCGATGACCAGGCTCAGATGGTCCTACTTCGGGCACTCGATGCGAAGACGCAGCCACTCTCCTCTCCGGAGGAGGCTCTGAGGCTGGGGAAGGTGGAAGGAAAGAGGAGAAGAGGACGACCAGCAGCCAGCGGGAGGGACGATGTTACAGTGCTGGCGGGGCACCGTTGGGAGGACTTGAAAGTCCAGGGTGGGGACTGACCCTCCTGGAGAAAATCTACCTATGTGGTCACTAGGAGTTGAAAATGACTTCAGGGCACGTAATCGGTCAATCAATGCAGAAACCCATCTCCCTCTGAGAAGTCCATAATGCTGGAAAAGGTGGGAGCGAAGAGAAGAGGGCCACCAGCAGCCGGGGGTGGGCTCCATGACAGGGGCGGCGGGGGCACCCGCCCTCGGAAGGCCTGAAGGGCCAGGGTGGGGACTGATCCTCCCGGAGAAAACCTCTCTATGTGGTCGCTGAGGGTCAACACCGACTTAGTGGCACCCAGTCTAGTCAATTACATGTTAAACGAAGCGAAGAGAAGAGAAGAGGAGGACCGGCAGCCGGGGAGGGACTCCGTCCCAGGGGCGTCCTCGGAAGGCCTGAAGGCCAGGGTGGAGGGCGTCCGCTGGCACCGACTCGAGGGCACCCAACCCATCGGCCGCTCCGGCCTCCAAGAGCTGACGGTCTCTCCGCCGCTCAACTGCTCCCACCGACGCCGGAGAAAGGCCGCCGGGCCTCAGGAACGAGCCGCCCCGGGGCCAGAGGCCGAGGCCGAGGCGCGGGTGTGTCCGAGGCAGAGGGAC